AATTATGTAAATATGCCAAAATTCAGTCACATACATTTTTTTGTTGCATAAGCAAGCTTCATAGCAGAGTTCTGTGTAGAATTCATTACAACGGGAACCACTCTTATTGGTGCGTAGTAGGTTGAGCCTCTTTTGCAGACGAGCCAAGGGGAAACTGAAACTTCTAAATCCGGCGTGCTGTGCACTGCACTATCGGCGCTTGCGCTCCAAAAGCACTCCGAGAGCATTTCTACTGTGTATCTGCCTTTCAAAGCATAATGCATCTTTTTTTTCTGCCTGGCAGTTGCTATGTTTACCTTTTATGCGTTTTTGTCGTGCAGCGCTGCAACAATATATTGCGATGACCCTGTGTGTAGGTGTGTATGTGTGTTCGTCTGTCTGGGTATTTTTAATCCCGAACCATACAAGCTTTTAATAATAGTGTCTCCCCCGACCAAGTGGGACCCCAGGATATCAACTGTCAAGCACGTTTACGTCGCACGTACGCACAGCAAAAGTTTTGGCGGGAGAATGCTAACTCTGGAGTGACAACAGCTAGGGAGCTGGGACTTTAAGGAAATATCCCCTATTCAAGTACGGCCAGAACATTTCAAATTCATCTGCTTAGAACTGCCCGGAACTCATGCACGGGCACGTGAAGATATTGACGGATGAATTGTTAACTCGGGGACGAGGAGAGCTGAAACTGTAAGGAAATGTTCCCTACTCATGTGCGACTAAAGGATTTCACATTCGACTCTTGTAATGAGTTTTTTCGCACACCAGCAACCTTCCACTTGCCAGGTCACCGAAGCCGACACTATAGCTGACATGCCACATTGCTACACAATTAACTTCCTGAACTTCGAGGGCCATTATATCCCAAATTCTAGCTATTGTGATTCCTTGCGATCCTGCTACAGCACGAAATAATGCAAAAACTCACCATCGCACCGGACTACCTGGTGCGCTTCAGCCTGGGTTTTTTTTTTTCTGTGTCTACTTTTGTTTAGACAATGCACAGACTTTAGTGGCTTTTTCTTTGCCGCTTTTTTCTTCAGGGTTTCAATTACTGCACTAAATCTTGCAAAATCAACCAGGCTGGAACGCACCAGGCTGTTCGGTGCGATCATGCGTGTTTGCACTAAACTCGCAGATCGCTATTAGCAGGAATGGTCCCTACGCTGTAGCCTAACACTTGGGCTCATATTGGCCGCGCTTTGGCCCCTTCCAGCATGCAAGAGGAAGGGCGTCAGTTGGGATGAAGGTGGTGCATTATAGAGCCACACGGACGTCCAGGTGCTTGATTACCGATTTTTTGCATGAAGTCCGGTCGTTTTTTCGCTAAATGCCTTGCTTCGTTAAAAAATGACAAATGCAAATTTTTTGAAAAAATACAAATTTCCAGTTCACTAAAAAGTGGAAGTATTGGTCGACCGGTCGTTTTTCAAAAAGTCCATGTTCATTTGCATATACAATTGCGATTCAGGTCCGAGTTGCTAACGATTTTTGGGTTCAGTAGCTGCTTGAGGCTGTGGTTGGGGAGCTAGAGAGCTGAGTTTAAAATCTTTATCTCGCACATGCATAGAAAATATCCTTGCAAAGTTTCAGCTTTCCACCTGGTTCGCGAAATCATTTCCCTCCAACATATTT